GTGGCTGGACATTGCTTACTGAGGGGAAGCAGAGAGTAACATCTTTGTTTTCCTTTTGTTTCTGTGCATGGCCTTGGCCTTTAGTTAAACTGCTTTTATCTTGACCCACGAGTTTTTCATCTTATTCTCCCCCTTTATTTTGCTGAAGGGGGAGTGATGGAGGGGCCTGGTGGGCACCCGGCATCCAGACAAGGTTAACCCACCACACTCCTCAGTAGACAGGCTGGCCTCATGAGCTGATAAGGGAAAGTGTCTGTCCTGAGAAGCAGCTGTGTGGTGGCAGAGCTAAGGACCTCTTTCACTGCAGTCATTTCAGTTTCAAAAAGCAGGGAGGGTATCTGTAAAAGCTAGTGATGTCACTTTTCATCCTTTGGCTATAATAATCCTTGGGAGAGAAAATTGCCTAAAAACCTATCTAAAAACCTATTGGGATGCTTTACACCGCTTTCATGTACAGCCAGTCATATGGCTTAATGTCCAATTTAAGTGTCCACTCAACATGCTTTTCTGCTTGGTTTTGAGGCTGTAAATGTAGGTGTTCAAGGCTATATTCTCTTCTTGTTGATTTAAGAAGCATAGCCAGTGTGCTTAGCTCAGGCCAGAAAATGAGGAGCTTGCATGCAAATACTGGTGGCAGCTAGTTTAGTTTGGTTACACCCTCCTCCTTTTGTTGCTAAAGAAGTTCTAGTGGCACTTATTGCACTGTAAAATTATAGATGTTTCAAGACTTACCACAGTGAATGTATTGTGTCCTGGTAAGGGATACCGAAAACAGATATCTTTAGAAAACAGGCTTCAGAAAAGAGGCTACTGTAAAAATGTTGCTGTTTCCCAGTTAATGCTGAAATAGATCTCCTATCCAAACCACCCATCACTGTTAAATCCTGAAGCTCAAATTGGGATAATGTGGCTGAGCCCAAGCGAGGGCCACAGTTCTGTCTGCCTGTGCAGCTGAGAGATTGAACTGCTCCTCCATTGGGAACAAACATGGAAAATTTCCTGGCTAGTGTGAGAGGGCAGCCTGCAGATGAGCTATGAGAGGAGAGCAGTTGGTTGCAGGAGGGGAAAAAGTGACACGTTTGGTTTGGCTTCAGGTTGCTCAGGAGCAGCAGCAGCTGTGCCCCATTGGAGCTCCGGGGCGGAAGGGTGGTCAGCCAGTTGGACTTTTGCTCTAGGGGTTTACTTTGTGTGTGCAACTGTCACTGAAGGGCACTGGGCATAGGAAGCTGGATCTAAAAGTTGTTAATCCTGAAAACTCAAGGGCATAGCTGTCTTCATTTTCAGTGCAGGGTCTGCCTTACAAGCAGACTATGGAGACACAGGTATGCATAGATTTAAGGGCTTGTTTTCCACAGTGGTCCTGTTCCTTAGAGACACTTGAGCAGAGGCTGGTGCAGAATGTGCTGGCGTGGAAAAAGATCGGTTGCTCTTCGAGCACTGATGGTGTATATCTTAATTAGGAGCACTGCAACTTTTTTAGGAAGGTGTAGCTTCCAGACGGTTGGATAAATTTGTCTGTGCAGTGTACACAGTGACTGTAAACCTGGTGGATTAGCTCTTCTGACCAGCCCTGAGCCCAGCACTGAGTATCTTTTTCATGTGAAGCATGTCCCTCTCCTTCCTGTTTCTTAGGGCAGGAACAGCATAGATCGGCTGTGAATGAGTTATAACACAGGTATAGATATATATTTAGGTATGAAGATTGATTTCAAGCAGTAGTAATCTCTTCTTTGTAACTGGAACAGGAAAATTAAGCATGAGCAAATTCATCACAATGGCTGGAACAAGTGTCGGAGCTGTTTTTGGGGTAGAACAGAGCAACAGTTCTTCAAGTGTTGTCATCAATCTAGAGCAGTGCAAGTACTTCAGGGAGGTGTCTGAGAAATACTGCAGTGGGCAATTGTAGCGTACTTGCCCCATTGGTCGGTGAGTGCTCGTGCCCTAGACAGTGATGGTTACACTCGTTCTTTAAAAGATAGTGTCTCCTCACCATGGGCAGCTTTCATGTTCACTGTGTTTGGATGTTCAGTGGCTTCTTATCATACTGTGTGACCACCCTCTGCCAAAGGCCTTTCAGCAGGGTTCTGCTGGGAGAGTGAGAGGCAATGGGATGAAGAAGAAGCTTCACACAACTTGTTATAGAAAATACAGAGCACTGCTATTGTGCGTTCAGAAGCCCCACTGCTAGTAGTTCAACAGCAGTGCCTGGTCACAAGATGTGGCTGCGTGGATTTGTGTGGTTAGGAAAGAGATAAAACTGTGCTTATAACTATTAAATAGAGAGATGGACAGTGAGCTGCTGTAACAGCGATGCAGGGCAGCTGTCTTCGGTCCAAAGCACTGACTGCGGGAGACTCTCCTTTGCTGTGGAGGCTCGGTTACCTTGGAAACCTGTTTTTAGCTGGCTGGTGGAGAGCCCATCTGTACCTGCTACTTCTTTGTTTTGAAACGCCTGTTTTACAGAAAAATATGACAGGAATATTTCCAGAGCCTGGATTATTGTGGAATCCAGGCTCTGCTTTTGGTCCCAGGCATCTGACTCTGATGAGGTGATGATGGTATGGGGAGTTCTGTGGCAGGACTGAAAAGGTTTTGGTATATCTGCTTCGTGAGGTGGGCCGCTGTCATGGAAGGGAGAGGTGCTGCTGCTGATTGTTAAATCCTGGAGTAGCTCTGAAAGATAAATCACTTGCATGTCTGGAGTTTGTAGAGAACTTTGTTCTGGTTTGCAGTTCAGCATCATGCCACCAGCTGGTAGATTAAACTGAAGTAGCTGCTGTCTGTGATGAATAAATACCCTCACATAGACTGTAGACTTCCCTTTTGGGGGGCAAATATAAACTTTTGATCCTGTTGATGAATTTCTATCATTGGAAGGTAGTGGTTGCAGGACTGTATTCAGAATCTGACAATTTTGTTTAATTACAGATCTTAGCAGTCTTTTCACATCTGTATTTTTCCTGTAGGTTTTTTGGTTTTACTATTTCTGAATACTCTGTAATTCTGAAGAGAGGGAGGGGAAGGGTATCTAGATTTTGCCTTTATCGCATTCCTGTTCCCTATGTTTTATCTACTCTCATTTCATGGCCTGTACCTTTGGGCTAAGATGAATGGTCTGTTCTCTATTTGCTATGGGGTTCTCCCAAACTAGAGTTGGTTTTCTTGCAGGTTACTCAGTGTGTAACAGGAGGAAGAACAGATTAATAAATTCTAGGTGAACCTATAAAAAAATCAAGAGTAGTCATAGAATCATAGAATGGTTAGGGTTGGAAGGGACCTTAAAGATCATCTGGTTCCAGCCCCCCTGCCATGGGCAGGGACACCTTCCACTGGCCCAGGTTGCTCAAAGCCTCATCCAGCCTGGCCTTGAACACCTCCAGGGATGGGGCATCCACAACTTCCCTGGGCAACCTGTTCCAGTGCCTCACCACCCTCACAGTGAAAAATTTCTTCCTAATGTCTAGTCTAAATCTACCCTCTTGCAGCTTAAAACCATTATCCTTCATCCTATTGCTGTGCTCTCTGATAAAGAGTGTTTCCCCATCTCTCCTGTAGCCCCCTTCAGGTACTGGAAGGCTGCTATAAGGTCTTCCCGGAGCCTTCTCTCCACTAGGCTAAACAGCCCCAACTCTCTCAGCCTCTCCTCGTGTGGGGGGTGCTCCAGCACTCTGACCCATCCTTGTGGCCCTCCTCTGGACCTGCCCCAACAGGTCCATGTCTTTCCTGTGCTGAGGGCCCCAGAGCTGGACACAGTACTCCAGGTGGGGTCTCACAAGAGCAGAGTAGAGGGGGAGAATCACCTCCTTTGACCTGCTGGTCACTCTTCTTTTGATGCAGCCCAGGGCATGGTTGGTTTTCTGGGCCTCAGGTGCACACTGCCGGCTCATGTTGAGCTTCTCATCAACCAACACCCCCACGTCCTTCTCCTCAGGGCTGCTCTCAATCCATTCTCCTCCCAGCCTGTATTTGTGCTTGGGATTGCCCTGACCCACGCCTGGCATTACTCTGTTAGATGTAGTTACCAATTAGTAGGTAATTAAACACCTTTTTTAGACAGTCTGTGTAGCATTCTGGCTTGACTTTGCAGGCTGTCTAATTCAGATGTTTTAAGTCTTGAAATCTGCTGACTTCAGAGCAGAGAATAAATTAAGAATCTGTCCTAGGCAGGCATCAGCTTTCAGCCCTGAGCAGCTACAATGCAGAAAAAAATAGTTTTATTTTTGGAAATTTTCAAGAACTAGAAACAACAAGATAAAGAACTTTTCGTTTTATTCAAGTGTATGAAATACAATTGTTTATTGTAAAGTCTGTTTGATTAAAGCTCTTTTAGCCATCCTTTTTGTTAATTCCTACTATCACTAACTGATTTTGGGTGGTTCCAGAAGGAGCTTTTGTTGTTTTCTTAAGACAAGTGTGAACCAGATCTGTAGTCTTCACTGTACAGCCTAGATAACTGACACAATAAGGTACTATACCCTTCCTTGTACCATTGCAGCAGCATTGACACAGTGCTACAGAAAAACTATGCCATGTTTTTATGTTATTTTTTGTTACTTTTTATTTTAACTGCATGTATCAACAAGAGTGACAGTTTGGGGCTGACTACACATACATCATGTTGGTGATGTCTGAAGCAGAAACTAGACAGTGGGATTCTCTAACCTCAGGCTCACTTCATGATCTGGCAGATAGAAAAATCTCCTGTGAACTGACTAAGCTAACAAGCAACTTACCTTGAGCCTGAGCAGATTTGATTGGGAAGTCAGTGAAGGAGAGTAAATGTGGGACAGTAAAATAGCTGTCACTTACCTGACCAGCACAGTACTTTAGCCCCACCCCATCACCCCACCCCAGGTAAATTGATATATTTCTGAGACGTGAGAAGCTGGCATTTAGGTTAGTTTATACTAGATAGTGAAAAGGCACCTGTATTTAAGTGACTTGTTGAGAATGGCTTTGCTTTTAATTTTCTTTAAAGAATCCATATTATTTTCTACTAGCTTTGATCAACTTGTTGAAGTTCCTCATGTCTAATGAGACTGTGTTGCTGGCGAAGCACAACATCTTCACCCTTGCTCTTATGGTGAGTACAGACAAAGCAAATCCTCTTACTTTAAACAACTTAATCTTGGCTGAATCCTAGGAAAGAATCCAGGATTTCTGGCCTGGTAAGGAGATACCAGAACAAGGCCACAAAGATGAGGAATATCATTGTGGTTGGTTTTGCTAGATGTTTGGAAGGGGCAGTGCTTGGACTCATTGTAGGGTCTGCTCGTTGAAATAAACAGGTCTGTGTGAGGAAAGGCTTAATTCAGTTTTCCAGATTTGGTAATGCTTTTTCTTGTTCTGTGGCCCTTTGTATACAAAATAATAGAAATCTGTTTTCCTGGCCCCAGATACGATAGTATTTAAGCTTGTTGTCTGTCTCTTCTGTACTATAAGGAAAATAATAGATAAAGCAATGCAGTAATGTAATACTGTGTAAAGCAACTGAGAGTTATTTCTTTGAAGGTTTTGGTCATCGTTTGTATTGTTTCTGTTGCAGAGTAAATTTTTTTTGTAAATACTCCTGTTGTATTCTTTTCACTTCCTTGTATAGGTTGTGAACCTGTTCAACATGTTCATCACTTACGGAGACACCTTTCTCCCCACTCCCAGCAGCTATGATGAGCTGTATTATGAAATCATTCGGATGCATCAGAATTTTGATAACCTTTATTCTATGGGTGAGTACCTCTTGACTGGTCAGGAATACTGTTGACTTAGAAGTGAGGGTGGTGGTAGAGGGAGGTTTATGCCAGGTGTTCCTGTCCACCTGCTGTTGATGTTTGTCTTGGTGGGTGGATGTGTTTTGTGTACAGAACATGTTTGGTAAATTAATAACTGGAAGAGGACTAAACTTGTTCAAGGGATACTTTTTTTTTTTTTGTCAAAAAAAAACCCCAAAACAGGAACAGACTCACTGTCTCTCTAGCAGCCATTTACTGTGGTTGGAAATATAAATTTGTTGGCACAACCAGGTCTGTGGTATTTCATGCATCTTGGTGTAGTTTGCATCTATCACATTTGACAGTTTCAGGTCTGAGAACAGGTACACGCTATAGAACCAACCAGCACAGAGAGCACTTAGTGCAAACAAGAATTTGGAAAAGAATTTGAGAAACTTATAACAAGAAGCTTGCTGTGCTAGACAAATCACATCTGCTGTACTCATTGCCAAAACAAACCAAGAAAACAGCCCTCACAAACCTGCTTGCAATGACAAGTGCATCACTGGACTGAAGAATGTGCCTACTGGCAAAACAGGGAGAATCTGCTATCCTTCATAGAGAGAGAGGCATGCTGGATGCCACCAAGTGACACCCAGCAGGAAAAAGAGGAACAAAGGAGAGCAAGGAATGCGTGGAAGCATAATCAGGCAGTGTATACACAGGAGCCAAGGGTAGCTGCAGCAGCGCTAGTGTAGTACCTGCATGCTTGAAGCTGTGAAGAAAAGAATACAGCTGTGTTCTTTGTTTCCTTTGTTCTAGAAGGACCTTTCTTCCATTCACCCCCTGCTCCCTTCTCAGCATGATCACCCAATGAACAACAGGAGTTAATATAAGTATATAAGGGGAGTTAAAAGGTAGTAGGAGAGAGCTGGGCACAGTACTCTTTCAGACATGAGAGGGAATACCCTTCTGACATGAGAGAGAGCCATCCTCACCTAAATAAAAGTAGCTGAATACTCCCTCCAATTGCAAGCAAAAATTAACTGCCCTTTTGTACAAACTTCCTGTGGTTTTATATAAGGGTTCACCTGGCCATTTTTGTGTCCTCTGAGCACGTGAGATTTTTTTGCTAACCCATTCTTACTCCCAAGAATTGAAGCTAGTAAGATGAGGTGCTTTTACTAGTCAGTAGTTTTTCAAACCCGGTCCCTGTGGAAGCTGAAAGGAAGTGGAATGGAAGAATAACGCACTCAGTTGGGCTGCGATAGGCACGTCTGACCTGTTGAAACAATTCATTTGTCACATGAATGTTTTCCATCCTGCTACAACACAGAGCAAACCCCTTTGAATTAATGTTGCAGATGCCTGAATGGAAACTCTGTGAATACATTACTTCAAATATTCAAGTACAGTACCTACTGTTTGACAAAATAATGTTACTCAGAGCTGCCTTTTTTTTCCTGCAGATGACATGTAATGGTAGCACTAGGAGATAAGCACTGTCTCGAGTTGATGAAAACCACAGTTTAGCCAGGTGTCCTGACAGCTTCCCTTGGCTTGTCAATCTGTCTCACTGGGGCTACAGTCACCATTCTGTCCCCTAGCCTTGGGACACTTGTTAGCACAGATAAGAAAGCTACTCTGTCCTTTAGTTTTCCTGTTCATGTAGCTGAAACTGTCTGCGTTGGGAGTGGAGGTGAAATCTAGTTGCTTTGGGTATTACTTATTTTTCTTGTCCTGAATCTGAATTTTATCCATATATACAGGACTGAAAGCTTCTCTCATGCAATAATAGGCATGAGAATGCAGCCACTGTGCTTATGGATGCACTTGTGACATCTGTGTTTCTAGATGATCCTAAGTTCTGATGATGTGCTGTTCCTTCACTTCTAAGTCGAAGGTGAACCTTTTTGTGGAATATAACCTCCAAAAAACACTCTATATAAAAATTCATAAAAAATTCCCTTCTATTCAGGCAATATGGAAGATTAATACAAAAATGTGCTACAGAGTCTGTTATTGTTTTGATACTTACCAAGAGACGTGCAGATAACACCACAGAAACACTACAGATTCTGATGTAAAGAAATATTTTGGGTGCTCTATCAGAAAAGAATTTGACTTCCTAGAAGTTCTTCCTGTTGCAGAATGTTTTCAGATCTGCTCCCAAGTCTGTCAGAGACCATCTGTGCAACAGAACAACACCCTTATTCCTATAGGGAGTGTTTTTCCCTAGGCTGGTATGTAATCCCTCTTGCAATTCCAGATAAACAGGGAGGTAAAGAATCCATCACTGCTGAGTTGGGTTTAAATCGCATCCACAGCTCAGATGGAACCTTGCATAAATAGTTGTTGGAGGAGAACACCAGAATAAAAGGTACCATAGACCTGGAACACTGTCCCGTTTCTGGGGGAAATGAACTTTAATGTGCGGTAATGATCACAGTCAGGAGGACCTAAGCTCTTCTATCCCCTCTGCTTCTTGTCTCCCAGTCATTATCTTGTTCTGCTCACCTGTTCCATGTTCCTCACATTTATCAGATGGGCTTTGAAAGGAACTTCTGCCCTGGATCACAGATTGTCTTAAAGATTACCTTTGCTCTGGTGTGGTTCCTGGACTGCTGTCTCATGAAAGGAGATTTTTTTTTCACATTTTGGATTAGAAAATTGCCGGTTCTATGCCAGCGCTGTTAACTGTCTTTTCCTTTCAGTTCTAAGGCTTTCTACCAATGCTGGTCAATGGAAGGAGCCTGCAAGCAAGGTGACCCATGCATTAGTCAATATTAGGTAAGGAGTAGAAGTTAATAACCATTTTAAAAATTCCTCTGTCCTGTGTGACTGCTTTCTTATCATGACACTTTCACATTTGTTGCATTGAATTTAGTTTTGAATTTGTTCTCTTTGTTGGGCTAAATTGCTGCTCTAAACAGGGCCTACTGGGATAAAGAGGTGATCACTAGGATTTGATTGTCCTCCTTCTAACAATTCTCTTGGCTCTTCTGTAGACCGAGTGCTTTCAAAGCATGGCACAAGCTGTAATGAATTAATCCTCACAGTATTCTTGGGAGAAGTTGTACAGTAGGGAACAATGCTGTGCTGGCGGAGCAATTGTGGACCTAATGGATTTCTGTTGAGTGATTCTATTGCAATTCTATGAAGCTCTGAAGGAGGCTATGAGCCAGCTGTAATAAGCAGATTCGAGGCCTCTTTTAATGTTGCAAGATTTTTGTATGTGTTTAAAAATGATTATTTAAGGATATTTCAGTATTCTCTTAAACCTCTTCCTCCTGTTCAGGGGCAGAAGCTATATTCTACTTGTAATGCTAAGGAATATCTGGGGGTGCTTTGTGCTATATTCCTTCGTGACAGCAATAATTTATTTTCCTGGCTTCTGAAGCAGCTACTACTGACCAAGCTGGGTGCTGGGCAAGAGGCTCATGGATCTGATTGATTGGAGAACGAATGGAAGAATGTTGAGAGATAATTTACTGTTTATGTTTGGCTTGTAAATAAACTATAAAAGATGTATTTATACTGAAAAAATATGTCCATCACTTCCCTGGTCACCCCAGACATTTGGTGCCTGTGCAACACCAAGTAGCTCAGTAGTGCTACATTACTAGTACTTGTCATTTTCCTCACTACAAAAGAAATTGTATAGGACAAACTCTCTGAGGGCATCTTTCAAGTCAATATGCATCTTATGTGTCTATAAACTACCTTAAAGGTTCCCTGAGTATGTCTGTAAGCTTAATAACATCACGTATGGTTCCAGAAGATTTATTTTGCTACTATCTTTTTTTTTTTGTAAATAGACATAAATGAACGCTTGTGGGCAGATAATGCACTCGGAGTGAAGCAGCAGAACAGATAGCTGTTGGCAAATTAATGTCATTTAATGTGACATAAAGTGTCTGCTCTGGGAATTATCTGTATACCCAGGGAGAGAAGTCTAAACTGGGAAGAGATTAAAAAAAGCAAGTGGTTGCGGAGGGTTTGTGCTCACCTCTGGTTTGCGCAACCAAGATTTTGCATTGGCTCATTTCCTGTTGGCTTAACAGCTGGTTTTGTAAAGAAGAGCATGCTACTGAGACAAGATAGAACCAAAAAATGGGCACTGTGATACCTCTCCCTGGACAGCCTGTATCGGACATGTTCAATGAGTGGTTCTGTCTGGATGCAGTGAAACCTCTGACATACTTCTCTTCTAGACTTTTGGTAGCTTTCCCCTGCTTCACCCAGCTGCTCATGTATGTTGAAATTTCATGTGGGTCTTTCACTAGAAGGACATACATGGCTTTTCACTCAGTGAAATTAGGCAAGGTGTAAGTTAGAGATGATTCAAGGCCTGGAAAGGGATTAGACTTCAGAGAAGTTAGTCAGTTTGACTTCTCTCATTTCCTCGTAAAAAAAAAAAAAAAAAGTGAGGGACTGTTTTTTTCATCTGCTTGTTAGTTTTCTTCTCATAGTAAAAATATTGTATTTGAAAGGTTCTTTAACTGTATAGATTTCAGAGCAGCCACTTGTTGGAAGCTGGAGAAAACCGAAGGTACTGTGCTTTCGTGGAGGTGACTGAGACGTCACACTGTCAAAGTGGTGACTAAGACTAGATGCCTTTTTTTGAGAGAACGTGCTTTAGAAAGTGTCAAAAGATTGTCTCGGTAGAGGGAAAAAGGATGGAGTGGCCTGTGATAATATAATACTCCCTTTTGGCCTAAAGACTGAATTTAGGTGTTTGGAAGTAGCCAATCATGCATCAGAATGATGAGAGGATAATTCTTTGAGGAATGCCTTGAACTTTGCAAGATCTGAAGTGTTCTGCAGTCTGTTGGGAATGACCGTTCTGTCCTGGTCTGTTGGCTGTCCCACTTCTGCAGCAAGCTCTGTAGGAAGACCCTTAGGACTAGGGCAATGTGTTTTCTTCTGGTGGTGGACCAGGAGTGCAAACTGGAGCCTTGTGCACACACACTTGTGGCTCTGTGCTGCAGAGTCATGGAGGTGTTGCAAGCCCAGATCACCAAAGAGAAGCAGGGAGAGAGGATGCTTGAGGAGAATAAACCCTTTAGGGCTGTCACTTTGACTTTATTAGAAAAACACAGTATGTTAAGGGATGGCAATATTTTCATAAGATGTAATTGTCTTGTGCATTGATGATAACATGCTGGTTGAAGGTGGCTCAGTTCCCCCTTGTCTGGATTGCCTGTTTCTTTACACCCCTTTAGTTTCTCCTTAGAGTGGTCTTGGTATACATTTTTTCATTTGGATGCCTTTGCCGTGAAGGGAGAGAGTTTAGAGAAATCCACCTCACATTGAATTTTTCCTTCAGCTTATTCCATCATTCTGGAAAGGTTTTATGAGCAATGATTACCTGCTTGTTGCTGTAATAGTGCAATGCAAAGTCACCCTTTGGTTTGTATCTTCATCTCATCACAACAGCTATTTAAAAATAAATAAATAAAAATTGTAGTTTCCTTATCCTAAGGCTTTTTGTTGGAAAGATTACAAATGTAAAAACTTCTGTGTGTGCATGCATGTGGTGGGCTTTAACAAGTGTCTTAAATCCTTGTGTACAATCTTACGTGTCTTTCTGCCAGGAGAGGAGTGGTGAGTTATATACAGCTTTTCAAGGGTGCAGTGCATTTGTGTTACAGGAGTTGGGGAGACAGATAAAACAGTTCTGCTTGTACCTCACAGTGCTGGATTGTAAGGTCATCTGATTAATTGCTTTAATACAGACTCAGGATGAGGAATCCTGAGAAACAGAATCTTTGACACGTGCTTGTTTAAACTCAGATGCAGAGAGGGGTCCTACTTTGTGTATCGTATTATGGTATTAACTGTACTTTTTAGTTGGACCCTATTCTCCACTAGGGAGTCTGACTGGGTTTTGTTGTTGCTGATTATCTGATTTTTCTAGTCCTTACTCCAGTGAGAAGAACAGTTATGAATGTTCTTTCTGAGTGTTGAGAGACAGGGAGGCTGTTCCTACTTTCTCTGTAGAAAATGAAAATTTAAATATGACAGAATAATAATAGCCTTATCTGGCTGAAATCTTACATACCATACTGGAATGAGTGATCCCTGTTGCTGTCCTATCTCACAATAGTGATTATAACTTCTATCTGTATTTGTCTCTGTGGTTTACATAAATAATTGAGACATGATGGACTGCAAGATATAGATGCAGCCCTGATGGGGCTGAAATAAGAAGCTGCAGCAGTTGGTGTTTTGAAAACTCACCTTTTCACCTATGTGGAAATAAGCACATTTTGAGACAAGTAATTTTTTTAAGCTAATGAGCCTCTTTAAGATAACATTGTGCAGGTTTGCATTTAATAAGTTTTATTAACGCAGGGTTCAAAAGGGGCATCCTCTGATTGCTTTTTCAGTGAGGAAGGTGGCAGCTGAATCCCTGTATTTTTTTTAATAGACCTTCTCCTGATCCAGGACTTTTTCAAGGTGAATATGTAGATTAACTCAATGATTAATAGACTGAATTTCCCCATTGTCTGAAATCCAGTCTCATCATTTTTAAAGTAACTTTATTTTTCTCACTGAAACGCTTTTAACAAGAAGAGAGTAAGTTTGTAGTATGGAACTGGGGTGATAGGATTTTTTTTTTTTTAAAAGGTGTTTTATGTGCTGTTGTAGCATACGCTGCAATCCTCGCTTGGGTGCTTTCATTCACTCTTCTACTCTACTTTTGTTCCACACGAGCCACCCTGTGTGATATTCTTTCTTTGTACAGGAGATGCTGCTTCTCCCAAGGCTGCTTTTGGGGTTTTAAAGGAGAGATTGGGGATTTGGGAGGAGCACTTAAAGCATCGCATGAATGTGTATGAAATGATTATGCTTGCTGCCAGTCTGGGCAGGAGCACTCTGAAGGAACATTTACAATTTTACTTAGGTGAAAGAAGGCCAAATTGGGCTGTACTTGTTGGTTGTAAATACCTGTCATCACTGCTTTGAAGCTATAGCTCATGTTAAATTACCATGACTCCATAGAACTACATTTATTGAAAACCCTGACAGAGGAGGAGGCTTCATTTAGGTATTTGTTAGAAAGTGAGTGGCTGCAAGCAGGCCACACAGTACCTTCGACATTCTTTGGCTTCACAGCAAGGAATTTAGCATCTGGTCATGGGGAGAGAAGAGCTAAATGCTGCTGACCTAGTCATGTTGTAATGGATGGCTGCAGCATTTATGCAGGGTACATGAAAGGGGACCTGCTGATAGATAAATGCTTCTGTGTGGAGTGGAGGCGTATGGATTACAGTCAGCTGAGACTGTGTAAAGAGTATATATTTTTATATATATATACACAGACTTCCTTCTTTCTCTCTCCCTCTCTGTACAGACATAATGGGCACACACACACGTTTCTTGCCAATACGAGTAAGAGAATGAAAAAGAGTGGAGGCCTATGGATTACAGTCAGCTGAGACTGGGTAAAGAGTATATATTTTTATATATATACACAGACTTCCTTCTTTCCCTCTCTGTACAGACATAATGGGCACACACACACGTTTCTTGCCAATACGAGTAAGAGAATGAAAAAGGGAGGGCAAGCTTAAAGCCTGTTTATAAAAATAAATGGTCAAGAAAATCTATGGGCATATATAAAAAATATGTATATCTGTGTGTACGTTGTATGTATATGCACATATATGAGTGTGTATCCATATATGTATTGATGGATATCTGTGTGTATATGAATACATATACATATGTATGCACACACATGCATATACTTCCAAGTGCATATATATATTTATATATAATACACAC